GGAGGGGAGCGGGGCCGCAGAGCCGCGCCGAGGCCCGATTGGCAGCGCCCGATGTGAAACAGATTGCGGGTGGTGGTGTCAGTTTATAATCCACAGAGATAATAGTTGCTGTAATTTTCTGTAAGCTTGGACTTCACTTGTGGCAAAAGTGTGCAGGATTCTTCAAAATTAAGTGACCTTAAGTTGCTGTTTCTGTGGTTTATTAATTTGTATAGATTATTTTGTACTCCACATATGCAATGTATCGTGACTGTACGGAATAGAAGTGATTAACCACAATTATATAAATGTAGGAAGTTTTTTGTTTGTTTTATTTTTTTTAATTCACGTGCTGGTTTACAAGTGTAATTACTCATGATGCCTTTGTCATGGTATCACTATGATGTGTGCTGTTGGCACCTCACAAATAATGAAAAATGCTGTTTGCAGAATTCTGGAGAGGCTTAGGAAAAGACACGGCGTGTGTTGTGATGTGTCTTGAAGGGCGTTTCAGCTTTTATTGGATGTGAATTCAAAGATAAGGTTTGTGTAGATTTTACGTAGATTGAGACACCTGTACTAACTTCTCATTTTCTTTCAGGCACCTCGTCGATACCTTGCAGAGGCAATGGAGGCAATGATGCAGGTTCTGTTGTAGTCAAAAAATAAAGAAAAAAATATTCTTAGCTGTGCAATACTCTTTCAGTGTCATTCAATGCCTAACATTTCAGAAGATGAAAAGGAGAATGGTTCTGGAAATAATGGAAACACGGAAAACAAACCTGGGAAAGCATCTCCGGATGCTTCTCTTCGTGATCCGGTGAAGCCATACTGCATGTCAGACGCCTCCGCTGCCTCCTTGGTGTCTAGGGGAGATGGGCATTATCCATGGGGATGTCCTGTGACTCATACACGAGAGAAATTTTATACCATTTGCTCAGACTATGCTTTTTTAAACAGAGTAACATCTATTTGTAAAAGCCCAAGTGCTTCAGTTAGTGCCTGCCTGTCAGGCAGTGCTGCCTTAAACGTTGGAAACAAGATGCCTAGCTTACTTGGCGTTCAAACTGGTGCTTCAGAGATAATCTTTGGCGAAGATGCTAACTTGGAAAGCTTGCCTGGTGATCTTGGAAAGCTTCCGCTGGCGTGGGAAATCGACAAATCAGAGTTCAATGGTGTGAGTGCCAATCTGAAGAACAAAGCAGGTGAGGTGGTGAAGATTTGATGTTGTGAGAGGCAAAGGCTTCAGGTTTGTGACTTGTTTGTGGAAGGGGCTGGTCAGCACTTGTATCTCTTGAGGAAGGAAGTGCTGTAGGAGAGCCGTAACGTCAGTTCAAACAGCCTGCTCGTTGGGAAAGGAGAGAGAGAGACAGGAGGAGCGAAAGTCAAGTGTACCTGCCTGGGGAAGTGGCTCTAAAACAGGGCTGGCTTCTGCTTAGCTGTGCGTGGGGTTTTTTGGGTATTGTTTGGGGTGGCTTCTGGTTTAGGTTTGTTTGGGTTTTTGTGTGGTTTTTTTTTTTTTCCCTTGGGTTTTTGGGGTGGTTTTTTTGTTTCTTTTCTTTTGATAGGACTTTGTGCTTTGTGCAGTGATTACTTTTACCTGTAAAGTGCAGGTTTGTCACTTGCAGAAATGTTTCAAGGTACTTCAGAGATGTATTTTGAAATTAAAGATGTGGCGTATTTCTGACAAGAAATATTTCATTACAGTTACCTAGGAAAGCAGTTGGGTTTCTGTAACAGAATTGTATTTATTTTGATTTGCTGTAAGTATACAGTGTTAGGGAGCCCATTTCTTTAAAACTGGCTTCTTTGCTGCCTTCTATGTTCTTTCTCTGCCGAGTCACAGATTGCAGCTGTGAATCGAGCGCTTGCATACACACTGGGTTTTCTTTGTCCGGTAATCCCTCTGCTTATCTAGAGTAGGCTGTAGATTATTTTTTTTTTTCCTTAATGGCTTGGCTGTCTAGTCAAATTGCTATTTTCTCTGCCTTAGTAGGAAACCGTTTTAGCAAAACTTAAAAACATGTTTGGCAAGTTGCCATTGTCTTTTCATGCCTATGTGTAGTGTTCTTAAGTAAAAATAAGAAACAAATGATAATATCTTACAGATTGGTCATTTTTGCTAAAATATACATGGTATATTTAATTTGGATATGATGGCTTCAAAATAAGACAGAAATACTCCTGCAGTAGCATGTGGCCCCACTCTTCATTTTCCATTGCCTCAGCGGCTTACAAAAAGGCAAAGACCTTGGGGGGTATATTATTCTTTTACAAGTTTTGCATGTAAATTTTTGTCAGAAAGTGTAACTGGTTACAGAACTTGGCTGTGAAAAACAATTTTTCGTTATATTTCCCTGTGCATTTAATGTTGGGAGATGGGAAGTCCATGTGAGTCTGAGAGTCTATTTCTGGGATGGCCGATTTAATGCATTAGAATAATCAGATTGACTGCTCTCTCTAAACAGTTGGGCAGGTCATCGTTAATTCTGTCCATGATCTAAACACAGTGTTGTTTACGGAGCTAATGGCAGCTTTACAAACTTGTTGACAATCTTGGTTATGTATTTTGAGCTTTTTCCTCCAATTAATGTTTAGTCCCAGTTTGCACTTCCTAACACAACCAGCATCTCTGTTTGAAGTGTATGCTATTACTAAAAATACTGAAGAGGAAAGATACGGAAGGTAAACTAGGCATTCATTTGTTTCTGAAATCTGTTTTGCAGGCAACATGAAGAAACAAGTGACAAAGAAAAAATCCGTAGACAAAAAAAGCAAACAATACAGGGAGTGTCCTCAGCGTTCTGCTCTTGAAGACGTGAAGGAGAGGAAAGTGTTGGACCTCCGGAGATGGTAGTATTTATGAATTGTATTTAAGATTATCACCATACAGTTTGTCGGTAAACACTGTTGCTGGTTATCTGTTTTCAACCTTTTTAATAATATCTTTGTACTTTTACTTGAGTGGAAATGGGGATATGTTAAGCATACATAGACTAAATCTCATACTTTCTACAAGAAGAATGAGAGTTTTCCTCCCATCTGTTGAAATTCTAAAAACATTTTTCTTTCTAAACATTTTTTTTTCTTTCAATAAGGAAAAAAAAAAGTATGTGGAGGTTCATTGTTAGAAAGTAAGTTTATTAGCATGGTCAGGCAAAAAGTAACCTTAAACATAGTACTGATATGTCTTATTCCTAATTTTTCTTTTCACTGGGAAATACTTCATCAGAATCTGTCAGTTCTATAGAACCGATATCATATAAATATAGTTCACTAAAATCACTTAATGTAATGAATCCGTCTGGTTCTTACTGTATGTCTATGACATGAGAAAGCTAAAGTTAGCCTGGGGAATTTGCAACCCAAAATGACATTCATTAGTAAATTGGTAGAGATGCAGTTTACTACAGGTTCACGTGTTAGAAGGGTCTGGATCAAACTGTACGTTATATTAGTACAGAACCATTTTTTCCTACAGGATCATTTGTACAGAACTCCCACAGCGCTGTTAGAAATTTGACTGATTTGTATGAAATAGGGTAGTAGTATCTGACAAACTTAAAGAAATTGGTTAACATATTTCCTTCATTCTTTGGTTTTTTTTACACAGATGACATAAAAACATTTACTATAACATGGCACTTCAATGGCCTAGCACACAGAAAAGTACTTCAGATTGCTCCTGTAAGTAAATCAAGAATGCTTTCTAATGGGTTTGGGTTTTTGTTTGTCTTAGGTACTGTGTTAGCCGACCTCAATACAAAACTTCCTGTGGAATTTCATCCTTAGTGTCCTGCTGGAATTTCTTATATAGTACACTGGGAGCTGGAAGGTAGGTCACACATAGACTGCTTTGCCTCTAGAGAGTCTGAAATATGTTGCCAGTTACTTTATTAAACAATACTTTTTTTCTTTTTTTTTTCCCCCAGTTTACCACCTATTACTCAAGAAGAAGCTTTGCATATACTGGGCTTTCAGCCCCCATTTGAGGAGATTAGGTTTGGTCCCTTCACTGGAAATACAACTTTAATGAGGTATGTTTTGTTCTTTTGATGCAGCTAAATTGTTAATGTATGCAAAAATAACATAAAACTGAGAGGTAAAACTTACAAAAAAAACCCCCAGTAGTAGCTCTTTTATTTAAAAAAAAAAAAAAAGTGGCTGACACAAGTTAGTCCTCTGAAGTTTTAGAATAATGAAGCATATCTGGGTACTCTGACAGTGCCCAAAGAAACTTTTCAAAGAGTTTTTTGCACTAGCCGTTTTGTATAGTGTAATGTTGCTACACAGATCAGGTGAACATGAAATTCTGTTTGATTTTTCGTTGGGTTTGTTTAATACTTGTATAATGCTGTAATGAGTCCAGTTTCCTGATTTGGAAATTTTTTCTTTACCCTCATTTTCCTGTTTTTGGAAATGCATGTTAAATGCATGTTAATGTCACTGAAACAGCCTGAAAAGGCAATTGATATACTAGTAGCTTGATATAAAAAATAACTTAAGAGTTGAAAATGAGATAGTGGGTGCTGCACCTTTGCTGCAATGGAGCTGTTCAAGAGGAGGAGGGGCGGGAGGAGAAGAGATGGGGCTGGAATCACAGAACACTTGAGCTTTCAAATTCTGTTTCGCTTCTGCTCTGCTGTTTCCTGATCTTGATGAATTGGGTCTAAAATATTTGTCCTTTGTTTTTTGTTGGTTTTGTTTTTTTGTTTTGTTTTATTAAATTCATAAGGAATTTTAGGATTAAACAGGGCCAGGAGCATATTGTACTCCAGTGTTCAACATCTCGACAGGGCTTTGGTGTGTTACCTTTCTGTGAGATTTAAAAATTTTGCAGTGTTCTTGCCTGTTTCATGAGTTGCATTTGATCTAGTTACTATTTTTTGAAGGCAATATATAGGGTTTGGCACAGAATGTGGGTACTGGATTTGAACATGTGGCAGCAGTCTGTTTATTAATGGTAGCATACTGGCTAGATCACTGAAGAGTGTCATGAAAACTTCCTTCTCTGCCTTAGGCGACTTGGATGCAGATTTTTTATCTCTTTAGGAGTATGTCAGGGTATAGCAACCCTTATAGACCAAGCTGATAAAATGTTCTGTATCTGTATGTCAACAGTCTGTACAGACGAAAGTTAAACTTGTAATTCTTCTTCGTTTTCCCCAGCAAGTGCCCTATGCACTGCAGAAGAGTTAGCCTTATTATATTTTCTTTTTCTGCCTGGTCAAATCGTTTTTAAGTACTCGGCAGACTGGAGAACAGGAGGGCTGAGAGTCAACCCCATCACCTAACACAGCTTTATGATTCAGGTATTATCTTCAGAGTTGTGAATCTGAATCTTCTAATGTGGAAAAGTGTATATCTGAGACAAAAATCTTCTTTGCAGACCTGTCCTCACTTACTGTTGCCATGAGGAGTTGCAGTATAGGACTCCTCTAATGCTTCAGCATGGTGACTTTAGTAAGGCCTTCGACACGGTGTCCCACAGCATCCTCTTAAATAAATTGGCTGCTCATGCCTTAGACAGGTGGACTCTTTGATGGGTAAAAAACTGACTGGATGGCCGGGCCCAGAGAGTTGTGGTCAATGGAACCAAATCCAGTTGGCCACTGGTCACTAGCGGTGTTCACCAGGGATCAGTTCTGGGGCCAGTGCTGTTTGGCATCTTTATAGATGATCTGGATGAGGGGATTGAGGGCACTCTCAGTAAATTTGCAGGTGACACCAAGTTAGGTGGGGATGTTGATCTGCTTGAGGGTAGGAAGGCTCTGCAGAGGGACCTGGACAGGCTGGATCGATGGGCTGAGACCAACGACATGACGTTCAACAAGAACAAGTGCTGGGTCCTACCCTTCGGCCACAACAACCCCATGCAGTGTTACAGGCTGGGGGAAGAGTGGTTAGAAAGCAGCCAAGCGGAAAAAAGCCTGGGGGTGCTGGTTGACAGCCAGCTG